TACTAAAATGGTTGCTTTAAAAAGATATTTAAGTTAAAATAAACCTAAATCCTTAAAATCAAATTTTATGAAAGTTCTCAGAATGAAAGATTTAAAAATGCAATTTAAAAAAAAGTAAGACATTTTTTGTCGGAACTTTTCTGCTGAATTATAATCCGTTGAGAGGTTTTAACAAAAACAAGATTTTCTTTAGTTTTCGCCTTAATCGGACACTATTAAGATGAAACAAACAAAAAGTCATATACTGAGGAGACAATCAAATGTGCTTTATAAAAGATTAATAAGAGAAATGAGAAAGATTAATTTGAGAGCAGCGTCATGCACATCAGAAATTGTTGCTCGTTGTTTTTTTGTTTCGAAAAACGATTTTGATTTTGTAGAAATAGGTCTTAGTAAACCTATGTATTTGTTGAATTGTGATGGAACTGGTTTCAACGGTTATAAAAGCAATGCAAAAGTAATTATCAAAAAGCGTGCAAAGCCCGCTAGTATTAACTGAAAATAACAAAAAAATACATCGTTTTTTATTGTCTTCACGCCAACGGTCTCTCTGTTGTCAACGCCAACGGTCGGTCTGTACCTTATTTTATTGATTACAAATCAAATAATCAGTTGGAAAGTACTAAAAATACTGAAAATAGTTTTAGCATTCTTTCCAAAAACATTTTTCCTAGTCTTATTGCAAATTTGTAGAGTTGCAAAAAAGATTACACTCGTACTCAAGTTATTGCTTGTTTTGAAAGCATTAGGTTTTTTCCTTTAAATCAACATTGATAAATTAAAATTAAAAATTTTGAGCAAATCATATATTGACCACATTTACAAGTAACTACAATTTACCATACAGTCCAAGTTATTGCCTCAAACTGCTCAATAAACACCAACCTCAACTGCACTTACAGAACCAACATCAATTCTTAATGTAACACTATATTAGACTCCACCTGCAACACCCACTTTAATTAAAACTTTAAGTTTAACTTCTCAAAAAGAATTGAAAACTCATGTAAAAATTAGTCTCGAAAAAACTCTCTTGGAGCAATTTCAATTCCAAAATGGTTACAAACACCCTGCAAAAAAAGCTAGAAAATTTAGATTAGTGGCTGGTCAAGTTTTTACAGAAGAAGCATGTTTGAACTGGTTTAAACATGCTTCTTCTGTAAAAGAAGAGGATGACGCATAGTTATTAATACAAAAACATGTTAAAATTAAAGAAAAAGAAAAAAAAAGTTTGTGCAAAGAGAGCCAAAAAAATATACAAAAAGTTCTCATTAAAACTTGAAATTTAAAAATGTCTTTTTTTAAAAAGTTATTTAGCTTTTTGTAAAAAGTGTCCGATTTGTGGCATTTTTAGTCCATCATTAAATTTTTTTTAAAGTGCAAGCAGGGACACCAGGAGTAAACAGTTTATTTAACAATTAAACAATTAAAATGTTTACTGTGTATACATAATTGGTTTAACGTCAAGTAATTTAACTTAATTTTGATAATACTTTTCAACCGTGTGAATGCTTTTGTGTGTGTGTGTGTTTTCGACTTGCCCGCATTTCACAGAAAATATTTCGACAACGAAACAACCAAAAAAATAAAGTACATTCCGACTGTATTTCGACAAGAAATCTTATAGTATAGAATTATAAGAACCGAATTTTGCTCAACAATTAATAACACTAAATTAATTATAATATATTTATATTTTAAATTTTAAATTTAAAATCTTTGCATTTTCATAAGTTTTGGTGTGAATAATCAAATCATGCTAAGGTTGAGTCAGTTGTTTGGAGCTGCTTTTTTCTTGCTGCTGGGAAGATAAAAATAAAGATTCGGAAAAAAACTGAAAGCAAATTTAAACAAACAATTTTAAATTGCATTGCGTTGGACGGAAAATGAAGATAAACGCGCATCAGGTAGTTAAATTATTTTTAAATTTTGTGATATATAAAAGGAAAATTAAAATACTTCTTTAACAATTATTTCTTTATAGTTAAATATAATAAAGATTAATACCAATGAGGCCAATGAGTCGAAAGTCACAAGTCATAATTCAAGCAAACTTTATTGTCATGGATGGTTTCCAGATAATGCCATCATCTTTTTAAAAAAATAAGTGAGGTTTTATTGTTGATTGTCACAATACTTAAAAAATGTATAAAATTGATTTAATTTTGATAGGACCTCTAACTAAAAAAAATTAAAAAAATATTGTCTTGTTTGGAGTAAGTTTATGGTTGAGGGTCTAGGTAAGACCCCTTTAAAGCTGTAAATAGGGCCATTAGTTTACCATAAAATTATCAGAAACCAAGTTTTCAAAAAAGATTCTTATATCATAGTAGTACTCAAATAATACAAATCTAACATAGATTTCCGGTAAAAACTGAGGTCAAACTCTCTCGACGATTGACTATTAAAGCTTTTTCAAAAGTATTACATACAAATCTGAACATTTTATTATATTATTGCGCAAAAGATTTTTTTATAAAGTAACAGGCGTTTACGAATTATTATCATTAATAATTAAATTCATCGTAACATTCAAAGCTGCTCGGTCTGTACTCATATATGTTTGTTACACTTTTTAATTTTTAAATTTGTTATATGTTCAATTAGGAGAAAAAAAATGTTTATAATATTTGATTATCAAGTAGGTTGACACAAGTAATAAATAATATATGTTAAAATATGACGGTATTTTGCAAGGTTTAAAGAAAAGTCGAATTAAAAAGTTTTCTTATTGTCAAATATTGTATATGAACTAAGAGACCATTAGCCTTTTTTTCTAATAACATAATCAAATATCTTCTGTATAACATCGGATCTGGAAAAGCTGTGCATGAAGGCAATAGTCATTTCCTATTAAATGTCGTAAGCATAAGAATCAAAGCACAGCAGATATATATTAAATGCCTTAAGAATAAAAAGCAAAGCACAGGAAATGTTTATTAAAGAATGCGTAAAAGATCTTAAAGTATTTAAGGAGCCTATAAGTAAAGTAAAATTTTATATATTTGGGACAGAAAGTGGAACGTTTAAGTATCAAGGAAAACACAGCAAGTTATTTGAGGTGAGCAGGATGCGGGATCTGTTCATTTCAAAAAAGTAATGTAAATAGGTTTCTGCACTTTAAAATAATCAGTTCAAAGACTCTTTAGTAACATTCTAGATATAAAGTTGGGAAGAAGATTTGTTCATCTCAATATCATGTAATAAAAATTTCTTTGTTGCAATAAAGATCAATGTTTCTCTTTTACGTAAGAAAAAATGGTAAAAATTGAAGAAATATATTTGAATTCTATTGACAAGAATATCGATTCCAAAATAATTTTTCATTTAATGTTGATTACTGGACTATTTAATATTGTTGCGCGTATTTCTGATGCATATATATATATATATTTTTTTTCGTTCTTTATTATAGTGTTTAAGATACAAATACAAATATACAAGCGAAAAATTACAAGTGAAGATGTGAAGATATCGTAAAAAAAAAAAAAAAAGGTTTCAAAAGTGAGATTAAAAGTTAGTTTATATACAAAGAATACTCAGTTATACAAAAAATGCACAAAACTGAGAGAAAAGTTATACACAAAACTGAGAGAAAAGTTATGCAAGTATCTTACAGCAAACCACACATTCTTAGAATACAACTTGCTTCAATCGCGAAGGAAAAGGTTGACTGAAATTTTTTGAGAAAGATCCCATGTTGCAAGAAATTTTTGATTGAATGTGTACTAACTAATATGTTTCTGAAGCAGATTTTCAGGTAATCGAAAATTTGTCTGTAGTAGCATTTATGGAGAAAAGTACTTCTGTAGATGCTATTTTTAGATAAATATAAACCGAAAGATAATGACTACGCGATTTTATGTATAAAGTAAAGGATTGAAGTTACCTTCCATCTTGTTCTTGCGTATTACGTAAAAAAAACAACGGGAGAACTAACTACGTAGTTAAAATATCGATGATTTCTACCTCTTTTTCCAAAAAATTTAGGATCAAAAAGAGGATTTTCAAAGACAGAATATAAAATGGTTTGATTTTGAAATGATTTCTTAATTAGGTTGGTGCTGTTGACAGTCCTGACAATCTGATTTATCCTTATCTGTTGACAGATAAGGATAAATCAGATAACTATAACAAAAGAGAAAGGTTTAATATTTGGTTTTAGAAACTTTATTGATAATATAAATCAAAAGAGACACTTATAGGAGGACTTCATTCGATTGTCATGATTTTATGCTAACTTAATAGTCAACATTATTTTAAAAATAACTAATTGTGTATTTTATAATTTGTAGAGGTTTTTTGATGTAAATTATGAGGATAAAAAAGACTGGGAATTTTGGGCCAAATTCATGGGTTCTTGGGCACCAAATGCCTCCAATGGGGACCAGATGACAAGATTGCAGATTGCAAGTGCAACTTTATTGTTAAAATTAAGGTTTCAAACCTTCTCATATTAATGGGGTAAAAAAACTGTGGATGACTCTTGGACTATTAGATTTTTAACAAAATTTAATGAAAATTATACACTTTATTTAAGTACATAAAATTAAAAAAAGTTACACACAACTAAAGACTCAAAATTTAAATTAATTACTAATACTTAAACGCATTCATTAAAAAAGGATGAAATTCAATTTTAGTAAGGATCCATTGGTTGCTTCACCATCGGCATACATACTTACTACATACATACATACATACATACATACATACATACATACATACATACATACATACATACATACATACACACATACATACATACACATATACACAAACACAAAAATAGTTCCATATAAATAATATAAATATTGAATTGCCCCACTTGTCACGGATGCATCCTTGTTACCTTTATTACCAAATGCAGTTTTAAAATTAAGAGAAATATTTTTATATAAAAATTACGCAGTTATTATAATACATAATAAAAATGTAAATAAATGTTAAACAATTTTAGGTATTATAAACTAATTTCTGAGTCAAAAAAGCACAAGAAGTAAATAAGCTTTTTTTTTGTTATCGGCAAATTTACTAACATTATTCACCTACCCTTTTCCCCACTATAAATAATCTCTAGCTACAAAAATAAAATATCTTACTACAAAAGTATTTTTTTTAATGATTTAAGCAAACAATTAAAAAAAAAATTAAACTCTAATAACGAGCTGTAAAATGTGTATTTGTTGAGATAAGATCCATGCAAGATAATATTTCTTGTTTTTTTACTGCAACTGAATGTGATGTAATTGGGCATCTTAGAAAATTAAACTGTCTTTCTTTGCATTCCTCAGTCCAGACTTCCATATTGTGAGTACTGCTTACTTCAGTTTTTTTTGTTTCAACTACAACACCACTTGGTGGAAAACCAAGTTGACAAGCTTCTTGCATTAGTTTTTTTACAACCGATATATCTGTTCGATCAACCCATAAATATTTATGAGCATCCATAGCTGCATTTTTAAACACAGCTATCCATGCTTCTAAAATTTGGTCAAAAGAATGAGTTTCTATAGGAACTAGTACGTGATAACCAATTGAGGCTAAAAAACGAAAGACGTCAATTCTGTTGTGTGAATCGATAACTCCTTGATTTCTAATATGTAAAACTACCGAAGAGTTGTCAGAATATGACGGTGATGCCTTAACAAGCTGTGCTGTTTTTGGCATGACGTGCCATGCAAATATCTCTTTGTTTGGCTTTAAGTAAACTTCATGTCCACGTTTTAGTCCAAATTCAGAAGGATGAGGTAACTTAGACGACCGATGTGTTAATGAAAACAATAAGTAAACGACCATAACCATACTAACAACGTACCAAACTATTTTAACTATAAAAAAAAGAAAAAAAAAGTTTTAAGTAATACATATTAATATAAAAAAAAACTAAATCTGAAAAACAAAGAAACATTTATATATAAACAGTTACCTAAAAGTCTAATGAAATAAAGAAACGATACTAAAGTACACCAGGAAATGTTTTCAGAAGTGAAAAAACTACAATTTTTTATAATATTAGCTATAGTGTACATCTGTCTATACTTGTTGGCTGTATTACTTTGAGGATTCAAATGAATTGTAAGCTGTTGATCTTTTTGCGCAAAGTTTGACATATTTATAGCAAATTTATTATACATTGCTTCACAATAATTGTTAGAAAAACCAATTTCACCTTGAAATGATATGACGTATAGTTTGTTAAAAATGACTGATTGAAGCGATTCTACAACTTTCCCATCTCTGAGCATTATGTGCTCGCTTTCAAAAGCCTCATAAAAACGACCATTTCTTAAACGCATAGGCATAGTAAATTTAACTTAGTCGCATTGCACTAAAACTTTCTTTCAAATTTTGCTTCGCCATCAATTTTTGCTTTGATTTGCTTCTTTGCAAGATGCTTTTATCAAAAGATGCTTTGATTGAATAAAGTTTAATAGCGTATTTGACGTAATTAGTGACGTCAAAATAACTGAATACGTTAGTGAATAAGTTAGAACTTATGATAGCGTCTCTATTGAGCAACGTCATAATAAATTTTATTTTAAATTTTTTAAACGATTTGATTTTTTTAAATTTATTTCATATTAGTTTTCTACTACAAATTATTGTATAAATATTTTAGTTTAATACTAGCGATTTATATAAAATTTTATTGCTTGATACAAAAGTATATACAATTCACAAACATTTAATACACGTACATTATAACAGTTAATATTCATCAAAAAGATTGTAGTTATATACAGGCTTGTGGAACCGAGTCAGACCCGGAGCCGCGGAGCCGCTGTTTTTTGGTGGAGCCGGAGCTGGAGCCGGAGCTGGAGCCGGCGCTGGAGCCGGCGCTGGAGCCGGAGCCGCAAAAATTGAGCGGCTCTCGGCTTTTATAATAGAATAGAATGCATGTTTATTTTTTTTATAAGACAAACTTTATTCATTTATTGTTTAACTAACTTGTTGAATTAATTATTTATTGAACTTCTTTTTTTCGAAAATATTTTTTTCTAACAGTTACAGTGATGTCAAAACTTAATAAAAATAGATATTTTAACGATTTTGTGCTCAACAAAATACTATTCTATAATAGCATTTCTTAATATTCTTTATTAAAAAAAAAAGTAAATTATAAATGGAAACATTACAGTGATGCACATATTGCTTTATATTATATTTTTACACTGATACTATGCTTGTAAATATTTAATGCGCGATTAAATGATCAAAGGTTATTCGAATCTTTAAAATTAAACTAAAGCATGCAATCGTTTAATTGGGAACAATAAATTTTGTTTAAAACCTGTCACTAACACATTATTAAATTATTTTTTGGCGTAATTACATAAAGTAGTTAGAGTATTAATTAAAAACATCGACAAATGAATCAAAATGTTTCTCATTGAAACATTTAGAAAAAAGAAATCTGAATCTAGCAAAATTACTGTTTGTATGGTTATAAAACAATACAAGAGTTCTCTATCTATCAAACGAAAAAAAAGGATCTGTATGAAAGAGTGGCTTTAAGGATAAGAAGGCCGCAATTAGTATTCGACGATCATTCACGCAAAACCCCGGCTTATCGAACAGAGAACGAGCCAAAGGATATAAAGTTTCAGAGTTTTTTAAAGATTAAAATTTGGCAAGCAATATGCAGCTACAGTTTGAAATCTCGAGCTTTTGTCACATCGTCAACTTTAAACTAGGATTTTACATCAGGGAATACTTGCAAGCTAGACTGTTGGAATTTTATCGAAGTCACGATGTCCCTTGTTGGTTCTTGTCTAATCTTGCTTCTTGTCATTATTCTAAGAAGAGTGACATCAAATTCATACCAAAAAGTTTGAATCCATCATTTTATACACAGTTCCGTCCTATTGATAAATTTTGGAGAATCGGCAAAGGATATTTGCTTAAAATTGGCAAAACAATAAATACAGCTAAAGATTTGCTTAGAGAGTGGATATTAGTAGTAAAAAAAATTTCTAAAGACACTGTGCAGAAGTTGATGTCGTTGATAAGCGTAAATGTTTGCTTATTTATTTGAAATAATAAAAATATTAAAATAAAAAGCACTTTTATAATCTTTAAGTTCCTTAGATTAGAATAAATATTTTTTGTAGTTTTTGCATTAGTTGAACAATTTTTTTTTTTTTTTAATTTTTCATCGTTTTTAATTTAACGATCGTATGTTTTACCCAGTTGGCATGTGGCATACAAAAGAGGTCTTTTAAAAGTCTTTTGATTGTTTTGGTTGTCTTTTGAACGTTTTGGACGTCTTTTAAACGTCTTTTGGACGTCTTTTGAACGTCTTTTGGACGTCTTTTGAAACGCCGAATGACGTCTTAAAATAACCTAATTTAGACGTTCTTATTTCGACGTCTAAAATACGTGTTCTAATATGGCTTTACTTAAACGTAAGGTTCAAATTTATGTTTTCACAGAACTTCTTGAGAATAACAAAAAAATAATAAATCAATTAAATTTTTTAATAATATAATTGTGCTGAGTTTTATAAATTACAACTTTGTAAACTTCTTCTTTCACTTGTTAATTTCCAAGAATCGAATTTTCGAACAGTTGACGTCATTCACCTTCTTTTTGATCAGAAGCACTCTTTAAAATATTGCCACCAGCATTTTAAAGTTTTTTTTTTTGATGTAGGAATCAGGGGAGCAGTCTTAACATTTAAAAAATATTGTTAAGATAAGTATGTAAAAATAAAGGGGAAAGAAATAAATAACACACACATATATAAATATTATTTTATAAACATAACATCAAACATCAAAAAATACGAATTTCTCAGCACTAAATTTATTTTTTTAAAGTAATTTTTGACTGGATTGTTGTGACCAGCGTATATATTTATGTATATCAAGTATGCAATATAATTGCGGTATTAAAAATGCTCTTTTTATAGTAAAATTATACTTACTTTGAAAGCATGCCCTTCTCAAATGCACTGCATGATGAGTCACCAACATTTAATAACTTCTATTTCTAAATTCAAAAGATAACACTAGTGTAATTGATATGGGACAATTTAGTGTAAGTTATATTGGGAATAGGAGCAATTCATTTGTGTTTTATTCAATTCAAAAATTTTGTGTAAATTATGTTTATTTGTAAAGTGAGCATTATGTATATAATTACAGATCAAAATTTTTTATGTAATTTACCCTTATAAAAAAAAACTAAACATTTAACCATAATAAAAAAATATACAACTTTTTGCAACATTAGTATCGAGAAATGATTGATCATATTCAAGAAACTTGGCGATAGAATCACACTAGTAAAGATCAAAACTATTCTCAACTTTAAACGTTTTTTATATTTTATTATTCTTAAGATAAGTAAGTAAATGAATTAAAGACTAAATATTAGTTAATTAAAAAACAATATGCTATTATAATTTGTATATATATATATATATATATATATATATATATATATATATATATATATATATATATATATATATATATATACATATATATATATATATATTACATCTTAGCTTCCAACAAGGCTGTGAACAACCACTATAAGAGTTTGGAAGTTATTGAAAGAGAAAAGATTAAGTTCGTAAAGCAAGATAACGATTGACAGATGACTTATAAGATTGCAAATTATATGAATCAGGGAAGCAAGATGAAGGAAGCAAATTGCAAAGAACTGATGTTCGAAGAAAAAAACTAGCTTTAGAGCAGTGCCCATTATAGTATTTGTAGAAAAGAGAAAAAGAAGCAAAATGACGACGATGTGACAATGGTTGGAGATTGGCTGCACAAGCAGGTCCAACTATGATTACAATGCGCTTTTGCACCTTGTCTAAAAGAAAAAGGGCATCAATAGAAGATCTGCCCCAGATATGGCAACAGTATTCCATACAGGGACGGATTTGAGATTTATAGAGATAGAGAATAGAATCTAGAGTAAGGAAGTGTCAAGCTCGATAAAGAGATGCAACCTTAGCAGATGCTAATTTTGCAATGGATTTGATATACGGTTTTAAAGAAAGATCAGAAGTAAAAGTTAATCCTAGAAGATGAAGGGTAGATGACTCATCTAGTACATTACCATTCATAAATATAGGAAGATCTAAATTATTGCGATAACGATTGGCCGAAAAAAATTGAGTTTTATCTGAAATAAAGTTCACCAGCCATTGTGAGCCCCATGCTGTAACAGAGGTAAGATCCTTTTCAAGCAATATATATATATATATATATATATATATATATATATATATATATATATATATATATATATATATATATATATATACAACCCTTGGAATTAGGGTCGGCATGCAGCAATGCCAACCTAAAAGTGTTTGAGGCCGACAAATAATGTCAACCTTGTTTCTATGTTTATTGGTAAGACTTTTGAATCCCTTTTTTTTGCTTTTTTGATTGATGTCGACAAATTTTTGCCAACCTCTTTTTTCCTAATTTTAAGGGTTGTGTGTGTGTGTGTGTGTGTGTGTGTGTGTGTGTGTGTGTGTGTATATATATATATATATATATATATATATATATATATATATATATATATAATAGAAATATAGGTTTGCAATCAATCAAAGGACTATATAATTTTTTTATTAATAAGTATAACCCATTTACATTAATGAAATTTCTTAGATGATAAAAAAAGGAGAAATTAAGGAGTGTTTCTCATTGATTACTTAGTAAATTGCCAATAACATTCCAACACGTGATATAGTGGTTATTCATATGTTAGACACTTTTGGCTGCTGCCACTAATACGCCATTAAGTAAATGATGACCAAAACTGCAATGACCTAAAATGCCTATATAGCTCCTATACTATATACTCAATATAGATTTAAATGTTTTTGCTGCGTTTTATATTTTTTTACTAAGTACTAAAACTAAAACCATAAATTTTCAAAAAATCATTATAAAAAAATCATTTCAAAAAATATTAAATCAATTCCATCTTTAAATATATTTTTCTTATTCTTATTTAAGTTGGATAAGTTACAAAAATATAAATTTTATCAAATAACAAATATAAATATTGATTTTAATTAAAATTATTCATATTGAACTTTTAAAGAATGATAAAAGAGAAAAATTATTTACATCTCTCATCTAAAGGATACTTTTAGATAATCAGATAATAAAAGAGTAGGATAAGTCACTAAAAAATGTCTAATTAAAAAAATTAAACAAGTAATACAGTTATATAAGAGATAGGTGGGTAGAAAATTTCCTTTAGAGTAAAGGAAATTTACTACCCTCCTGTCTCTTATATAACTGTTACAACTGGTTTAATTTTTTCAATTAGACTTATTTTTTAGTTAAAAATTTTGAACTTCACTAATAACTAATTACTAAAGTTAAGTAATTGGTTATTAGCGAAGTTCCAAAACTTGATATTGTAATATTTCAAA